ATACACACACACACACATACATACATACATACACACACACGCACATACATATACACACACACACACATACAAGAATACTTATTGCTCATTATTCTCTTGGAGAATATTTAATAACAGTGTACATTTTCCTGCTAGTCACAAACTAGTATGTAGTCTTAAACTGTGCAATTAACACTATATGTTCGAAAAGTCTGAAGAATAAAAATTGGAGCCATTTTTGAGGTGTAATTCTTGAAAAAAAAAAATACCAATAAAAGAATAGAGTAATATGGTGTTCAGGTCATCTTACAGAGTACATTTAGCACTAACCCTACCAAAACGTGAAATAAAAGATTGAGCCGTTCTCAAGAAAATCTTGTTTTTGTTATTTTTTAATATTGCACATATGGCACAAAATATTGCGTGAAAACTACTGAAATTTTCAAAAAATTACATGACATTTGATGAAAGAACTGTGGGAAAAAAATTAACTAGGAGGAAAAATCTCTACCTTTAATTTTGTAATAGTAGGAATTAGCCGAAAAAAATTGAAATGTTTAAAATTTTCGAAAATTGTAAGTTGTGAGAATTTGGATTTTTGAAAATCCAGACAGTGAAAACCTACTGCTCATTTGTAAGTGAGCCAGATTGACAGGGAGGTATCCATTTTGGAAAAAATCCCACATGTGATTTTGACTAGTGGTGTTCACAGACGGATGGAAGTTTTGAAAAACACAAACGAACAAGAATTCACTATTCATAAAATTTGATTACATGTTAGAGGGAGTTATTTACTACATATTAGAAGGGATTTATCAACTTTTTCTGCATCAGGATTTCACAATACGAGTTTTTATCGAAACTAGTTTTACAGCATTACATAACTTTCTCTATATTATGAATATTACTCCATATGTATACGAGAAAATAAAAATATACCTTAAAAATAAAATCAATTAAATCAACAAAAGTTGATCAATAGATATGGTATCAAAATTTAAATAGTATCTTTTTCACTATAAAAAGATTTTCGCTTACAAAGAGCTCATTTCAGTAATTTAACTAAACGGATTCAAATACAATTGTCCATACACATCATATAATGTCGCGTTTAAAAAAAACCAAACAGATTTTGGATCTTGTTATTATAGTTCTATGATAATAATGATGAAGATGAATTGTATACAAACTCTTTCTTTTCATAACTAAATATAAACAACATTATTATGGTTAGTTTTAAAAAGCATATGAGAAAAACCTTTTTAAAAAAATTTGAAGTGTAAAGAAAAACTTACACGTGATACAAAATTTCTGGTTAGACTTGTATTCTGTAGAGAAAATGAAGGTGCAGATAATGCAAATTTAACATTCAGCCTTTCATAACATTACAAAATATTATTTTCAAATAAAGAGTGTTTATAAAATACAAAATGTATTATACGAGTTATCCAATCATGTTCTTATGCAGCAAACATTTTGCTTATCCATTTAAGTTGAAGAAAACTGAATTCAAATAGTCTGATGTATCATTATACAAGTATAATGATGTATCTGATGAAATAAAATCTCTGAAATTAAAATATGAAATATTAAAAACATTAAAAATTCACTATACGAAGTGCTTAACCAATGGTTTCTCAAGTATTTACAAAAGACCCCAGAAAAACTTCTCAGTCCGCTGCCAGAATAGAAATAAAAAAAATCTGAGATGAAAAACACATTTCAATATGAAGTATTCGAAGAAGAAGAAGAAGAAGAAAAAAGAGAGAGAGAGAGAGAGAGAGAGAGAAGAAGAAGAAGAAGAAGCAAAAAGACAGTATTTGCAGCAAATATTTTAATCCACAATATCGAATTCGAATATACATTCCTATCTAATCTACAAATGTCCATTCACTTCCTGTTCTTGTTTCTTTTTTCTTGATTTTCACAGTATTTTGAGCTTCTTTGGTGATTTATGCATCTTGGCTTGTTTCAAGGATTGCACCACTATATGCCAAGTCCCAATAATGTTCCACATTATGTTTCTTAAAATGATCACGTGCTAACCTTTCACTAGGGCAGACTTTGAATATCACTTCTCCAAAATTCCGTTGTTTTGACATACCCTGCACAAAAAAGATAAAGTCAATTATATCAGTTTCTGCATTATCATGTTCATAAATGAAATCAAATGATAACATATTGTGTTAGAGTCCATCCATTGTTTATCGTATTATTTACCCTAGCCAGGATAAAAAAGAGGAGTTTTTGGGGATCATAGACTTCTACTTAACATTTATGCTAGTACACACAATATACAGCAAAACTAGATGACTCAGAGTTTTATCTTGCTGCTAAAAGTTAGGAAGGTTCAATCTTTCAGACAATTGATTCAATATTATTTGTATGCATAATTAATCTCCATATTCCATGAAGTAAAATGTGTTTCACTAAATCCTGAATATTACATTAAAATGGAAAGAGGTTCTTTGAACATACTACTTTCTCAAATTCGCTTTGTCTCATTACACACAATGAAACAAAAGTTTGAACAGTTATCTCATTCATTGTAAGGAGAAGTTTTTGCTAGAAGTTCCATAGTTCCATACAAAATAATTTATGTTAACACTGCTTTTGACTCAAGTTGTTTAGGATCAAGGAAAATAAGATTTACCCATTTTCAGCAACCTATCCTCCCTCTGATTTTATAGAAAACATGTTTTTTTCACATTCTTTTTTTTTCCTTCAGCATATCTTAAAATATTGTAACACATGAAATGTGTGAGAGAAGCTTTGTAAATATTTTAATAAATAATAAAAACAAAATTTTTTAAGTTATTTCTTGGCAAGATTTTTGAATTTTAACCCGTGTAAGTGTGGTGTGTGTGGTTGTGTGTGTGTGGTGTGGGCGAGTGTGTGTGTGTGGTGTGGGCGAGTGTGTGTGTGTGGTGTGGGCGAGTTGTGCGAGTGTGTATGCACATGTGTGGATCACAAAATATTTCAGAAATTTTCAAAGGCACTACCACAGAAAAAACATATTTTGTCATGAACTTCATGCAAATACATTAAACATACACACACAAGCATTTTCTTAAGATTTTTTGAGATGTAGATCATATTAAAAAAAATTAAAAATTGATTTATAACGATAATAATTATAATTTACTTTTGCAATATACCAAAAGAAAGGGCAGTATAAAAATTTTCCTCATGGAAAAGAAAATTTTTGGGACCACACTAAATATCATTATAGTTTCAAAAGAGACTTAATGTAGCAGTCAGCTGGAAACAAAATTGTATTGATTTATTTGCTGCATACTTTAATTCAACCGCCAACTTGTTGAACTATCAGTGGTTGTACACACACTCCATCAAATTAAAGAAAAAAATGTTAACTAGGACAATTTTAACATTAATATATAATTAGGAACATGGAAATCTTAATTCAAATTGTGTTTTTTACTTTAAATAATGAAAAATAAGAAAGTGAAACTAACAGGTGGAGTATGCAAAAATTATGATGTATGTTCCATTCTGATGCTGATATAATATAGTATTTCAAATTAGATTCTATGTGCTCCCATGATTTAGTAGTATTTCAATATTAATATTTTAGGGTGAAGCAAAAATATTAAACTTTGCAAAGTAATGATAATCCTAAGAATTTAGTAGATCAGCACAAACCAATGAAAATTAAATTACTAATCAAGAACAAAACTATATTGAAGTACAAAACTACATCAAGTACATTGAAATAAATTTCCAATTATTAAGACCAGTGGCTGATTAAGAAATTGGGAAAGATAAGACTGGGAGTCTGAATATTAATAAATCATAGTTCTTGAACCTAAACATAATTCACACACTGCTGGTTCAAAACATTTAGGGGCTTATTCCGCTACAGCTTTTCCACAAATTTCAAGTTTTCCTCAATACAAAAATCACCTATTATACGAAATAAATTTGTACCAGTGACCTTAAATCAGAATTTCAAGTGATAAAATTAAAGATGTTAACTTTTACTCATACTCAATATATAACTCAAATTTGTTGATAATTAAAATACCATAATTCCCCAAATTTAATGAAGGATTTATTCTATGAAGTCTATAACCTCTACAAATTGGCCGTCGTCTTATTTTCTCTCATGAAGAAAAATTGTATACTTCGAGGCTCTACAAGTCTCTAAAGGACTGCAGTAACCAAAAAGAAACAGAAAATCCCATCTTGTAGATTACGGTGAAAGAAACTTCACCCACAGACTTTGTTCTATAAACCAAGACCTTAGCACACAATTTTTTAACTATGCACAATTGATGTGTCATCAGGAAATATACAATCTAGAGGAGTATGTGTTGCAGATTGCACTTGTGCCAATATTGATAAGTGAAAGGCAAATTGTCAATTCATCATGATATTCCCTTTCTCCAGATACACCATTTGTTCATTATTCGTTAAGATTGGTTGGCTGTGAGAGCCATGAGTTAAGGGAACTATATAACAAAATAAAAGATGATCTTAATTAAATGAAGTCAATATTTTGACTGAAAGTTTAATAGGTGTAGGGTATATAAATAATATTGACATTTATTTAATCTATAAATATTAAAGTTGCAATTGTTCTTTCATTTCATTTGTTAGGAAAGTCTTTCCAGTTGTAAGGTAAACAAGGTTTAGTATGTTAATGTGTTATTATTAACAGAGAACATTCTACTTGATGAATATGTACGAACAAAATGACAGTTATTTCACTCTGGAAATAAATATAAAATACAAAAGTACCAAATAAATAATTACCAAATATCTCTCAAATTTAAAACTACATTTTGATATATAAAAATTACATACCTCCCACACGACGTGACATTTGTTGGGTGTAGCTACACCCTCAGGATCTCGCACTGTATCTTCCTCCCATTTAATTCTATTCATCATTAACCTATAATCCAATGATTTGCATTTTTCTTTGTAATTTTCTTTAATCTTAATTTTGACTTTTGGTTTTATTAAAATTATATCTAAAAAACACACATTATATATATAATAAATATATATAATAAAAAGTTCTATGTATCACTTACCTTTTATACTTCTTTAATTGCTTAGGACCTCCTTCAACTACAACAACATTACAATCTCGAAACAGGACAACACACCCAGTAAGAAACAGCTGCTTGGCATTAGTTTCTACTTTAAATTTCTTACTGGCATTTGTTAATTCTTTTACCCTGAAAGCAAAATTATACATCTCAAATGAGTTGAACTAATAATTAAAAAGTAAATTAATTCTCCCTACAAACCTTCAATTTTATTGTAAATTATAATGCAATAAATGACATGCTGCTCTGGTGAACATCTATTGTGAATTTAGTATTTTCTTCTTTGAAATGCATTTAATGACACACTTTCATATTAATTTCTCTATAAAAATGTTAGAAAGTCATCAGAAATTACCTATACACACAAACACATACTCCTAAGGAAGTATCTTCCTGCAAACGTCTTGTTTTTTTGTCTCTCCTTTGCTCAGCAGTTAATCGACGAGCAGCATTAGCCTGTTCATGAGCACGTTGACGTTTCAGCATTTGAGCTCGTACATGAGCTTCCACTCGTGTGGGATCCTGGGTAGCTTCTGTGCCCAACACTCGCATTAGGTTGCTCAATCGTAGCTTGGGCTCTGGTGGGGGTTCCAGACCTAATCTAATTTTCTCTTGCTCTTCTTTCCATGCTTCTCTTCGATTTTGACGCCTAAGTTTCTTACGTTCTTTTTTGGTTAAAAATACTGGTAAATATGCTGGTTTTAATGGATCCGCTGAAATACAAGAGAACAAAATTAAATAAATGTTGACACAAAGTTCAAATTATTAACAGTATTACTGTTCACACTGACTGTGTACTTATTAAACTAATTATACTGAAATAAATGCATGTTCAAACTTTCATAAATATATAATCAAAATGTATGTATAAACAAGATATCACTGAAGAATGGAAATAATAATATGAACTTTTGAAATCACTTGTTTTAGAGGAATCCACATATTGGGGGAGCCGGCTCTATACATCCACAACTCTACTGAACAGAATATTCCTTTACTAGCATGTCTTTTGCCAAGATTTACTCAGTTTCATGATTAGACCTTGGAATTTGAGGCACAAAAAGGAGATGATTTAGGTGCCTAAAATAGGTAACAAAATTATGCAATTAGGTATAAAAAGTAACATTTAAGGCACTGAAAATACGTTTGCAAATGATTAAATGGAGCGACTACAATCATATTATTTTATTCATTTACATAATTAAATAGCACAGTATTTAATTAAGATTTGATTCAGACCCCCCTACACACACATACTGACAGACGGATGAAAACTGAAAATGACCCTTTTAATTTCCTTGGGGTTCAAGACTTGGGTCTATTATGTAAAATTCACCTTTCCGACAGTGGTGCAGAAACCTGTCATCTGCACAGCTGTACAGGGAATGGATGTAATTGCTTAAGAATTGCATGCTGATCGGCGACGAGCATTAAACATCCTCTTTACATTGAATTACAGAGAGCTCCTTATATTGGCTGTGTGAGGCGAGAAATTTCTGTGCTTAGTTGATTGTGTATTTGCTGATTGCGGAATATTCGCATTTCAAGAAAGTATTTGTATTTTGGGTAACAAATTCAAAAAATGATTAATGAAAATATAATTCTTCAAAATTACTTGGTAAAGGCAATTTTAGGCAAAAAATATCATAATAGGCATCAACAGCCATTTTAGGCTGTCGGCTATCAGATGCTCTCAGTAAATCTGTTTTTTCATGATTCCTAAACATCAGCAATTAATTTTCACAAACCCCTAAAGGAACTAAATAAGCATTTGTCCTAAAATCTGAGGTAGATTCATGACATGTCCTCTCTTGATAAGAGTAGCTTTGTTGAGCATTCAAACAGATCTGGTAGACGTAGTGCTGCTACAGTACTTTACGTTTATAATATCATGTTACCTTGTCTCTTTGTTGTTAATGGTTGAAGATCAAGTTCTTTAAGTCACTGTTCATAAATCAGAGGTATAAGAGCTTTCAGTAGATGTATTATTTTACATTGAAAATTTTCCAAAATTTTCTGATTTTTTATAAAATACAAGTTCCCAAAACTCGATCCAAAGTCCAACATTAGCAATATGTGATATCCAATATTAACAATATGTGTAATTTGTTAGAGAATTACTATTATTACAAAATATGTAACATAAAATTTGGATAATGAGTTAGCAATGCAATAATTTGTTTAGATCACAATTTTGAGAACTCTACAGAAAGAGACAAAAAATATGTAATTATATAAAAATCTGCACTGTATTAAGGACTACCTAGAAATTTTTTTAAAAATATTTATTCAGGAAAACCTAAGTAATAAAAAGTAGTAAATGAATTTAAAAACTTACTAGGTGGCCGCATCTGAGTGGGATGTTCTACAAGATGAGTAATAGCTTCCGCTTTGAGAATACTTGATGTCTGTTCAACATCAGGAGGATATCCACCAGCACCAACAAGGACAGAATCCCACCACTCAACTTTAGGAACATCCTCAGCACCCAAAGCTTCCCCACGGGGAGCCATTAGGGCAAGTTTCGTAGCAGAGCTAATGCCAGTCTTTCGAGCTATCTGAGATATCTCATTTTGCAAGCGCTCTAACTGGGCCTAAAAGCATATACACTTACATACAATATCGATTTTATATCATCAGAGATCCCTAAATAATACAGATTCATATAACCAAAGAGTTTTCGAAATTTGAGATGTGACAGAATGTAGCAAGAATAACACTTAAAATAATACAATAGCTCCAAACAGTTTTAAAGCTGACAAGAGCAAATGTATGAACTGAATTAGAGAAGTCTTTAATACAATTGAGGAATAAAATCTCAAGAATAAAAGAATCCCCCCCAACCACCCCAAAAAAACATAAGAAAAAATTATATTCCAAGAAAGTAATTATTACATATCACACCACAAATTTGGATCATGTACACCATCTTCAACAGACACATATCCTTGGGAAGGGTAAGCAATGGACTCAGTGAAGATATTTTAACCTGATAGTTTCATCTTTCATTGGTTATTGAATTTAACTAAAACAATTTAAAACTATCGCCAAGCTTTGTGAATAAGTGAACCATTGTGAATAAAATTTTATCTATTCTTTCTCCTTTACAGATATTCTAAAATTTAGTACCTTCCTGATGAAGTGAAAATACAAGTTTCACAAAACATTAGGAATGAAAATTAACATTAAGAAAGAAAATTGTAAGAGAAAATTATATTAATATTATTGTAATTTTCTATATACTTGGACAAAAATGACCAAATAGTAATAAAATAAACACGATTCTTAATATTATCAGAGTAAATAATTACAACTATGTCTTCATTGTATAATGTCTTAAAATATCAGGGCACCATTCTAGTGTAAGCAACATGTAGCAGAAGTTCTTGAATATAAAAATTTTCCCTTCAATTATTTTACAATTTATTTTGGGGTCTGCCAATGTCATTCCCCATCATACCAATGGGTTCCTCAAGCACCAAGAATGCAACTGTTAAACTAATTTTTTCTAAAACATTTAGTAATATAAGATATTATAAAAATATATATTATAACCAAGATATTCAAATTTCTTTAAATTCAATAGATACAGTCATTCTTAATTTCTCAACCACCATCAATTTACTATACAACACAAACATTCAGAATAAGAATTTACTCATACCTTCATGCGCATTCGTTCAGCCAATTGTTGAAATTTACCAGGTTCATGAAAACGTAAAGCACGTTTTCCACGAACAGCAGGTTTGCTTCCAACCCGAGGATCGAAGAAACGTGTATCAGAAAGGTCTTCAACAGCTCTTTCTTGCAATTGTTGTCTAAATTCTTCTCGCTTTTTTGCTCGGATATTAGCCTACGTAAACAAAGCATATACTACTTTTGCCAATGGTAGAAAGTTATTGGATTTGTAAATGAAGTAACAACACATTTCATTTATTGCTTTAAAGAAATGATGTGAAACAGAAACTTGGTATAAAAATGATCATAAAAGATTCAATAATAGTTTTTAAAAAATTACCTACCTTCAAAGTAGGAACAAGCTGAGTTAATTGCACTTCTTTGCCAGACAAGTCAACAGTGCGACCTTCAGCATCCAAAATTAAAGGAGTGGGTTTCTCTGGGGCAACAGATCTCATTGCAGGTAAGCTTAATGAACCACTTGTCAATTTTGATTGAATCTGGGCCTATTGCAAAAGAAAAAATTAATAATTGAGGAGTAATCATTGTTACAGAAATGTTTGTTTTCATTTGAATGAGAAAACACACCTGCAACTGAGCAATCTTACGAGCTTTATCTACATCTCCATGCTGTAGAAGAGAAGACTGGAGAGTAGTGGCAGGAAATCCAAATCCTTGACGAAGAGGCACACTTTCATCTCTGTAGTTTGAAGACCTAGATGATGGTGGTTCATCCACACGTAATGCATTTAGAGCACGTTTACGTTCTTCAATCATTTTCTGTGCATTTGCCATCATTTCTTTGATCTAAAAAGAACAAGGAAATGTATAAATTATATTTTAAAGCTGAACTTGATATTACACAATGACTAATCTAGATAAATTATCCAAATATCAATATATGGTACCTGCAATGCAGTTAGTTGACCAGGACTGGGATTTGCAGATGAAACTGTCGTAGTTTCCGATTCTCTGCCTCTAACCTTCTTAGCATCATTACCTCCTGAAGAATCTTTTGTGTCAGAGTCGTGATGTCTTTTTCTACTACCGCCACGTCCAGCTCCTCTAATTTCATCAGCCATATCAAATATTCGTTCTGCTAAGCGAGCTGCCTTCTTTTCATCTAAGAGAGAAGCTAACTTGCCTACAAAATAGTGAGAAAATGAATACGAGACAATACAAGAAATTAAATCATGAAGCAAATACAATTAAGATTATAATGGCTTTGATAGGTTAAAGAGGTATAATGTATTCTAACCTTATTTTAAGAAGTCTCTGTTCATTTTACAAGCCAAATGAAAATTATAAAACTTACTTGTTGTCTTCTTTTTGTCGTATCCTGAATTAAGGCAGTTCAATGCAGCAGTCACAAGAGAAGGTTCGCTAAACCCCAGAAACTTTTGAACTGTCTTGTCCACGTACGGCTTCATTTCTTCAAATTCTTTTTTAGACAGATAAGACGTCATTTTGGGAATATTTTTTCTGTCAGACCCAAAATAAAACTAAGAAATTTATTTAGGAATTTGCATTCACACTTCGAAATTTGGAACTTTCAGTTCTTAAGTTTCACTCAAACTTCTCAATACAGCTAACATCCACATAATCTGCACCACCTGCACAAATCTCAAAGAACTACACACAACCACAACAGACCACAACCACTGCAGCCAACACACAAATGCCATTTAGCTCTCTTGCAGCCAACCGCACAACCGCACAACCCACCGTCCCCACAACCATATATATACTCTTTGCCCAGAACGTTCTACGGTGTTTGTGACCAACATCACTATGCAAATGCTGAACTTAATAGCAGTGGTACCATCCTCCGTTTGGAGATCGTTTTATTTCAATTCGTCGGAAAAATTGACACTTTCTTCGGCCGAGTCCAAAGAGCTTAAATGATAATTAATACTTATTAAAACAAAACTAGTAGTATTTAAATACGTTTATCGAATTTGAAATTACGTTTTCGTCAAATTCAAGTTACTTTTGTTTTCTAAAAATTTTTTATATTTTTTAAAGTGAATTTAAAAGTGATTCCAATAAGCACGTCATAAAAGTCCTAGCAGACATCAAATCCTCCAAGTATAAATAATATTAGCTGGATATACAATTTTGAAAAATGTTAGTGGTCAGAGAGTGTTTTGGCAATTTTCTCCATTGGAGACGTTCAAAATTCCTGTTACAAAAGCTTGTATATCAGTGAGTGTTTAGGGGTAGAGAATTATGAGGGTCATGCTGTGGCAAGCAAAGTGACTATTCTTCACTTTCACTGCACATTTTGATTAAATTCTAAGAAAGTTTCCTTCCCCAATTTTATTATTTTAAATTCCTCAATTTTAACTTTTCAGTATGGAAATCATAAAGAGAATGAGACATCTATTCTTGGAGTATTCATGGCAAAGGCATATTATTATTATTTTTTTTTTTTCCAGAAGGGGGCCTAAATCCCAGAGGGGGTAATCCAAGCATCCTCTCATAAGTTTGCACTCCAGCTTCCATTGTTCTTGCATAAAGTTATTTTAATTCACAATGATAACATAAAGATTAAATTTAGAATATATGTTACGAAGTTCTGCTTGATGCTACTTACTCTTAGTCAATGAAAAGTAATCTGGCAATGAATGAACTATTAATCACATTTATATGACATAGTATGTACTACTTTATTGTTGTTTATATTGGCAATAAATTTTAAAGAAAATAATTATACATTGAAAATTTTCAGATTGGGTGTAGATGAGAAAATTATCAAAATGAAAATTTTGCGTTGAATATTTTTAGTTCAATTGAGGAAAATTGTGAAATATATTTATTATGGAGTGTATGGTAACACGTAGGCAGTACATTCATCTTAGTTTAAAGAAGGTGGGATTTGTTGATGTATTGATTTATCAATGCATTATCATATAATTTGTTGCTAATTGCCAAGGTAATAAAAGAGGACAGTTTCTTTCTCATTTTAGGATTATTATTAGGATCAAATTTTAACTCTAAAAACACAATAATGTAAATAAAATAGAACTAGCTGATTTTTCCAAAAATCACTTTAATATACTATTATATTATTCTCATATAAACGATACATTCTCTTTCAGTCTCATACATCATAATATGTTCACTTTTCCTAGATATATTTTTTATGAATGCAATCATTTCGTTATACTTCCTTGCCTGAAAAAGCGTTTTGAAAATTTTCAGACATGAAGAAGCTGAATTAACAGTGGGATTTGTCAAATGGATTAAACAAAAATTTGTACTCATTGAAGTATTTTTGTATGTAGTTTGGGCTGAAACATTCCACATTGTTTTGATGACGCATGCTTTGTTCTCTTCACCATCTAATTTTTGTATAATAATTACCCAATCTTCCAAAATGTAATTTCTTCATTTGCACCTTGTACTGTCAATTTCTAATCTCTCCCTTCATAAAATTCTTGAAATTGTTTCCAAATACTCTGTTTCTTTTGCTGTTTTCCAGTAATGAATCTTTAATAATAGATTCTATTTTAGAATTTTAAACATTTACAAAACCATTCATTTTAAAATTACATTGATGCTTACAAACTACTATGGACATAAAACAATTGCCATTGATAACAACCAAAAGGTAAGCAAAGTGATTACAGTGGAGTGCAAAATTGATAATGATACGGTGATAAACATCTGGAATTGGTTTAATTTGAATATACTCTTGCTTAGCTTACTTATGACACTGGCTGACATGAGTCAAATTAATTAGTTAAAAAGCAATGGATACCTCCTTATTGTTCTAAAAGAAATTGTAATTTTTTTTCATTCTTATGCCAATTTCATTTCCAGCAAAATTAGCAATAATATAACTAAAAGTGATTAGACATATTTATATCATTTATATCCACATTGTTTAAACTGGCATAAATATGGCAGTGATAAATGAGTATATGACACTTCATTTACTTTGTTCTACGTAGTTAAGTGACAACAGATGTATGCTGTGTAGTTATTTAAACATTTAAATTGAAGAAAGCCAGGATATATGACCAAAACATTGAAACATGTATAAAGAAATGTAAAATAATGGATAACCACAATATTATCATTGGTTAAATTTTATGATTAAAACATTCGTAATTTTAAATTGTGAGAACTTTATTTAAAGGGAAGAAAATATATTTTCTCTATAAAATGCCTTATTAATAGAAAAAATAGGTAAGATTACTGCTGAGAATGTATTTCATCTTATATACAATATATATATACACAAAAAACACACACATTCTCACAAAAACGTTTTATTTACATGAGATTTTTTCTATGTATAAAATGCATCTAAAACCAAGATGCTTTGATATTAGAATAAAATTAAAATGTAGATCTTTGGCAAAAAATGAGGATTGGATATCATTTCTCACTCATGCATCAGGTTCATACGCTTTATTTTCATGTGATTTTTCGTTTGAGCCATTCTCCTTAGATTTGTTATTGTTGTCTCCAGAAGTTACTTCTTCTGCAAAAGAAAAATAATCTAAGATATATTACATTTCAAACCATAATAAAAGCATTCTTTCCATCAATATTTTGAATTTTATTTCAGTCATTTAAACACAGGCTCATGGAATTTACACTTAAAAATTAGATAACAGAAGGAGATATTACCCAAAGGTAGTGGATTATTCCAAGCTTCTTCCTCTTCAGAGCATAATACCCAATAAATAATGAACGAGAGAGCACCAATAGCAGCAGAAATGTAGAACATGATGTTCCAAGCAGAACGTGTTTGCTAAAATAATGAATTTAATAACATGTAATAGAAAACTAGACAATTAACATGATTTTATGCTCATAATACACTCTCAGCATACTTACATTTCCATAAGTCAGAAATCCAACAGCGTATGGAGCAAGAATGCCAGCGGCATTGGCCATTGTATTAGAGATACCATACATAGTTCCAGCAAAATTTGGGGCGAGAACTAATAAATTTGTGCCATTTCCTGCATATTGAGCTCCCAAGCTTATACCATTTAGAGCAAGAAGGACGTTTATTAAAATGCGATTGCAGCCAGCCAAAGGCAGAAGGGCAAGGGTGATGGCAGCACCCACACCAGCTATAAAATTTCAACAAATTCTTTAATAAATAATGAACTTTAAAGAAATTTAAGAAATTGTGTTCAGTGGAACCTGGTTATTAGATATTAAATAATAATAATTAATAGTAATCAGTACCTAATTTAAATTATTAGATGGTGAAAATAAAAGTGCGTTTCCATTGAGATCATTTAAAATTTTGATTGTGAATGTTTAAAGGCCATATTTGGATAACTTGAAATTAAGATTTTATGAGTTTCAAAGAAAATAACAAATATCCAAAATATTAACACTTGAATGTACATGTTCAAGGAAATTATACAAATTCTTGAACAAGAGTGATGTTCTGGATTACGCAGTGAGGAAGTTGTGTAGTGGTTCAAATAGTAAAAACCAGAGTATTATTTTCCTCACTTTTGTCATCAGGATGAGGTTAAAAATAATAGATACTACAATTTATCTGAAGAGGCAAAGGTTTAAATGCTGTGCGAAGAAAAAGGGCATTAAAAATATATACACTCTTCATTTGTTGTTAGTTTACATGACAAAGTATTCTCAGATCAAATAAGAATAAAAATGACAAATGTGAGGGCAAGAGACATGGAATGCTAAGGAGTTAAATGCCACAAGTTCGTTTAACTTCATATTTTTAGGAAATGTTAACTTCATATTTTTAGGAAACTTTTTAGTTAATTTGATTTTTTTAAATTCAATACTTTTCAAACTCCTCCTTGAAATTAGAAAGAAAAAGAGTCCAGGTTACTCAAATGAAAAAAATACGTCCACAATAGGTACTTACTCATGGCATTGAAGATCTTGAAACCAGTAAGAGGTCTAACAATTTTTCTTGTGATCAATGCATCAAGAGTAATAGTGCTTGCTAAACTAGATAAACCACCCAAAACATACGGAATCGCTGACAATGCAGCATTCTGTAACATATCAGAAGTACTGTTACTTTCTGCAATATTAATTGTAATTATTTAAGTAATAAACTAGTAGTGCTACTACAGCTCAAACTTTCTTCTATAATTGGTAATGGTTATGTTATATTATAATCTTTTATCCTACTAAAATTTTAGACATCCCTTGGGAAAATTAAATGATAGTATAACTGAAAATTCTGAAAAAATTACTGATATTTTAAAAAAAAGTGTAATAAATTAAAGATCTAATGTCAATTAATGATTGCATTAAGATGGAAACCTCTGTCTTCAATAATAAAGGTAAAGAACTGGTTCGCAAAAAAAAATTGAACCAAGTCACCATATAACTCACAATTTTTAAAAAGTTCTCAAAAATTCTAAAATTTAAAAAAAGTGTAAATGAAATAAGCTAAAGATCTAAGTGTGTGTATGTGTGAGTGTCTATATATATATAAAACACTTTAGCTTCATTAATAAAGGTCAGTCACAGGTTTGAAAAAAAATTGAAATATTGCAATTTTCGAATTCCAGAGTTTTTAATGAAAGTCTGATCTATATCATATTATTAAGTAAACTTTATTCTATTTGAGTTAAATATTTACAGAAAAAATTGGACCTGGTTTAAAAAGAAATTTTTTTGTATAATTTACACTTTCATCAACATCTTTAGTACTTAAGAGCAACTTTTATGTACTATTATGTACTTATGTATATTTTTATTATAGATTTTATTTTAAAAAAGCAATAATTTTATTAATTTTACAATAAACATTAAATCAATGGTTTCAGAAGGGTTAATTAACATAAAAGGGAGTTTGAATGTTCATAAAAATTGTGATGCCTTTACAATAATTGATTTGTGATGTGTAATGTTGATCTATGATTGAATATATTACTGTATGTTTGAATCCAAATAACTGACATTGATAGTAGTAAATTTTTCAAATTTAATCACAAGCTACGTTCTTTATTAATTTTAACATTAATTTCTTGTTTTAAGTTAAGAATATAGTAAATATATATCACACAAATGTTGTGAGAACATTCATGTTTCAAAGCAAATTTTATGACCTAGTTCAATATTCCAATTCCAAGGTATTAACATATCAGCGATTAAAAAAAAATGAATTTCAATCTTAACACATTACAAAGAATAATTAGAGCTAACCATTAAAAACATCAATAAATCACCAAACTTACATTTTCAATTTTGTAGTGAAGAATTTCACCCATATAAGAAGGCAAGTATGTAATTTGGCCAAAGAAATTCCAACCAATACCAAGGTGCATGGAAGCACAGGCCCATAGTCCAGGAGTTGCCAGAATTTTCTTCCATGGTATTGGGAGTTTCTTCTGCAAAACAAAAATAACAAAGTTTAGTGAAAATACTTGCACAACATGGATTGCTCAAAACTTTCAACAATTTCCTGCATTTACATGTTAATACAAAGATCCAATGTTTGGCATTTTTCTATATTTTTTGAGTTAAAAATTTTAAAAGCTAAGCAATAAAATAAGGAACAGGGGTCTTGAGAGCCAAGAGAGGTGATGAGGTAAAAACGAAAAACAGTTGTAAGTTCGACGATACATTTCTTCTTGGATCCATTCAACTGATAACACGAGTGTAACGCTAATGTTTGATTATAAGAATACGAACACCCACTGTCATCGATAAGTAACGCATGGCGTCATCAACATTACCGATCGGGGTGGGGGGCGGGGTTAACTCGGTTGCACCCGATGGTTATGGAGAGGTACGGCCAGGAACAAATACCAAATTACAGCAGTCAATCACAATTGAGCAAGAGGCTATCTCACATTTTTTGTGAAATTGAGTTATTAGCATTACACAAAACTTCAAATGTTATTGTTTCAGTGTAACATTTTTTATAAATCCAGTATGGACTTATATGCAATTTGTATTGCGTTTAATAGTTTTAAACTGCATTGAGTTATGTAAGGGAAGTTCAGGTAAAACCTTAATCTCAGAACTATGTCAGTGTGGGATAGCTCCTTGTTCGACTGTGCCCTTCAGGCGCATACGCACTGGAAGTTTTTGTCACACGTCAACGAAATCACTGCAATTACCTTTTGTCCGGTTCGATGCAGTGCCGTTTCGATGAAACGCCTCTCAGCTTGGGAGATGCGCGGGTGCTGTGCGGGAGTATCGAAGACGCACAGCAGCCAAGGGATGTACCACAGAATGCCTATGGCGCCCGTTGCGTAGAAAACGAGAGGCCAGCCACCCAAGAGCTGCGAGTCGCACAGGATGCCGCTTACCGGCATAGTGATCACGGTGCCCAGGTAGCTGCCTGCTCGCATACGCCATGCGAACAAATGTTAACAACGATAAAAAATAATAAAAATTCATTAGTTATTTGTGTTATCGGACGCTGCTGTTTTTTACTGCTATGGTCGACATTGGTTCTGTAAGAGCAGTCCTGTGAGATGGGAATTTTCCTTCCCTGCTGGATGGCGAGATCCGACGCCAAAATACCGTCGGCTTGCGGGGTTTTCTCCAACCAGGCACCTCCCACCAGCGGGCCACTGCCCCAGCCGGAACAAGCTCTAAGCTCCCGACAGGTCTCCCGACATGTGTGGTAGCGTAGGGCATCAGTGAGTGTTAGTGTGTGTGTGTGTGAAAGGAGAAGGACGGAGCAAGAACGAGGGAGGAAAGATCGCGCACGGCCTGTGGCCCGTTTGTTAAGATGCTGCTTCGGCATTCGCCTGGTTTTGGTCTAAGAAACAACAGAAAGCTACCGTTGAGAGCTGCCGGCTGCAGGATTTCTCCTCGAGATAGCGGTCGAGTTAGTAGCCCCGAGCAGGTTGTAGCCCAACCAAATTTTAATTGAGGAGAGACTCCTGGGAGCATTTCGTATCCGGCTACCAACCTGGCGGTGCATTAATACAATCCGGATGAAGATAGAGGCTAACAGCTTGTAGCCCGCTCTGGGGCGAGTACAATCTCCATGGGTTTGAAATTAAATGAGTAAGCAGTTTGTCGTTGGCACAGAATATAAAATGCATAACTTCAAGAAAAGCGAGCTGTGCGGCTTTAGGAATCCGTCATTAACTGGTCCAGTGTGCCCTGCATCGTCGCAAAAGAAAAATATTAGAATCAATCATGACAGTAGGAAAACCGGTGGCATATCAAGGGAGCAATCACGAGCCGATTTCAAGAGAGACCCCCGGGAAAACACCTTGCGACCAATAAACAGTATGTGCACAGTAAAAGCTTCTAAAAGAATAGGGGAATGGTATCTGGATGCGAGATGACAAAGTAACATAAAATACGCACTTATAGTACGATTTATATAGTCGTGCACTTGACGTAAATCAGCTGTTGCGGTTTCATCCAATCGGGAGCTTATATGTCGCTAAAGTTACGTCACTATCGGGACGTTGAAACTCCTGTTTGGATGAAACCGCAAACGGTTAAATAAATTCTAGTATACAAAGTCTCATAAGTAGGGGGCGGATGACCTAAAACGTTGCCCAATAATTATTCTTAAAATGCTTTAAAAATGCACTAAAAACAAAGGAAAATGTAAAAAATTGATCAAAATCACTTCAGATGAACAACTCAAGCTGTTGAATATGTTACTGATGTAATCGAGTCTTCTTCCTTTTGATCAAGTGAAATCAGCTCGCAAACTTTTGGTTTAGTTTGTTCTTTAAAAGACAATATATGCCTTTATTTATCAGGAAATCGGCCGAACCGACAATGGCGCTAATAGGTTTCTCAGGAATCTTAGATTACGTAGTACTCACAACGGCTGACATTACAATATATGATCGAAGAAATCGAATAGGCAACTCAGGAATTCCGTGGTGAACATTTGTTGCACCTGTAATTATTGTTTGAAGTAAGTACCATTAAAATTATATTAAAATCGATGAAATCGGCGAAAAATGCATTAAAAATGACGTAAAAGGTAAAAATTGACTTATTAGTCGAAATCGACGAAAAATGCAAAAAAATGGCCTATAAAAATAGTTCATTTACTTTTGTCACAAAATAAAATGAATCATACTAAAGGGCATTGTCCTAGAGTGAAAAGGAACAAATCTTTTTCATCAAAATCCGCTCCCTACTCATAAGGAAAGGGCCACGACGCGGGCAATATTGCACTTGGCTGACACGTAAAAAAATAATCCATTTAAGAAAAATTCGTGCAAAATGTAATTAACGTTTCAAGCACATTAAAAACTCCCTCTGTCCACGTCTGGTGCGGTAAATTGAACAAAAGTCGGCGCAAAACACATTAAAATTATTCGCGAGGCTATTTGCAGCGTGGCGTGTTCATCGCTCGCCCAGGCGATCCAACGCAGAATGGAGACAGCGAAGAAACGTCTCGCAGGGACATCGAAACATCGGGGGCACTTTTGTCCCGGAGAAGGCGAGAACTGGTCTCTTTGGGCGTTCTCACAAAGGGTACCTACTTAAACTGAAAAAACAGACGATATCCGTAAGACGATAATGATAGGTGTGTCGCTGTAAGAGCACAGAATTGTCAAGAGATACGCTGGGACCGTACTGATGTTTCCGAGCACATCGACCGTTATGATAATTTTTCTCATTAGTGTGGTTAGGGAGGGGACGGTGTTCCTCTCTACAGGATGGTGAGATCCGGCGCCGACCTATACGCCGGCTTGCGAAGGGGGATTTCCCTCATCAGGTATCTCTCCTAAACGGAGCACAGCCCAACCGGGACAAGCTCTAATCTTCCAACTGGTCCTCCGAAATGTATGGCAGTGTTGTGGATGTAATTGTATGTTTGTTAGGGTATTACTACGGCATTCGCCTGGTATTGATCAGAAAACCACGGAAAAGTACGAATCAGAACAGCTGACAGCTAGAATTCTCCTCCGCGCAGCGATTGAGCTCTGCCTTTCTGTGTAGCTAGTGTCGAAAATCGCCAAATATAGGACATAGTCCTCAGAACACACGACCTCCCGCTCAGAGTCGCTGTAGAGACAGCAACGGAGAGGAGAGCTACGGTTCGACTCGAAAGTTGCATTTTATATTTGCTCAGTGTGAGTTTACAAACGACATTTCCCGTCAAGAAGGTGAAAAGGAAACTGGCCAAAGCACAAATAAAGTTTTATGAGTTAAACACTTTTCAGGATTTCTTTTATTGGTGTTTGCCCAAGTCCCTGCGAATAAGAGATGAGAGGATTTGAGATATAAGATAGTTGCAGTGAACTCGTCCTACAGATTATCAATCCCTCTTGGCCGTGCAAAAGAGGCTAAAGGCTTCTCATCAACACCCGAAAGCTGCAAGATTGGTTTTCCTTGTATTACTGTCATCCGAGGGCTGGCGTAAGAGATAGAATATGTTATTCTCTCTCTATCTCTCTCTCTCTCTCTCTCTCTCTCTCCTCTCTCTCTCTCTCTCTCTCTCTTTCTCTCTATACGCACAAACGAACTTACATACTGTACGCTCACTCACAGCCAATGGAAGTCGTTTGAAAACTTACCTGAGAAAATCATGGAGAATCGGGAACGTTCACTTGGAGGAGCCCAGTTCGCAATCATAAATTGAATGGCCGGAAAAGTGACACCCTGGAATCATATATAAATCATAATAAGGATAGGTAATACGAAGTTATCACACATTTATTGTATTGACAATCAATTTACTGTATTGACGCTATGTTAGAAAGGCGGAGTGTTGAATACAAAGTATGAAAGGCAATGAATTTACAAGAAATATTGTAGGCAAGAGTGAATATATATCCGGAAAAGAGTGGATTGTTTTGAAAAAATTGTGTAGCGGAACAGAAAAGATTTGCATTATGAATGAAGAGACACGAATTCAAAGAACTGTAGTAGATATGAAACTGTACAACGTATTAACCCCCCCCTCAAAAGGACAGTACCTGGTCCTGTCGGGATTAACGAAGAAATAAAGAAATTTGGAGGTGCGTTAATGAAACTTAGACAGTTGCACTTAATGAATGCTGGCTAAGAAGTTTAATACCGGATGAGAGGTTAGAGCCAGTGATTATAATGTTTTATTTACTGGTGGTACAATAGCACGTACTTTCTAGCAAGAGTAACGATTACGTAAAATTATAATACCGCAATGTGTCCATATTACCACATCTCAGTCATCATTAGTAAAACTCTTCCTAATCGTATCTCATTAAGCACGATTTTTTAAAGGTAATTGTATTAATACAAATTCGACAATTCAAAACTCCCTTCCTCACACCCAAAAACACCGCTCAATAATGAGAAGTTTTTCTGACAATTTTAATCTGCTGTGTGGCGGCGTTCCCATTGTATTGCTACGTTATAACTTCTGAAAGATCATAGCAAAAGAAATGTGGATCGAATATGCAAATTCGAAAATTTGCGAAATTAATCTAAACTAACTTTAAAATAGCATAGCAACAGCAAAAATAGCAATTAAGCATAACTTAAAAAATATATATGACATTTATTAAATAACTAATTCTTTAAACCAGATTTCACTTAACAAAAAAATGTTCATCAGTATTGTATTTTTGCGATGTTTGTTTTTTGTTTGCAGTTTTCGAAACTGCAGAGTGTTCGCCGAAAATGGAACTCGCAAACAGTCTTGCGCATACGAACATCGTGAGAATAGGCAACTTGTCACACTTTTTCGGAGTGTGGGATTACGCCAACATATCCTTTTGTACAATCCGAATTTCTTAGGAATTGGAAGCTTGTGAATTTTGAAATGGAAGGGACACCAATATCCACTTGTGATATCCTATTTTTTATTAGGTCAATACAGAGTTGACGAACACAGTTGAAGAACGTTTGACAACTGTAGTGCGAGAGTCTATTATTTATTAAAAGTCATTTCGCCAATTACTCTTAGATTATTATCTTGAAGTAGATTATTGGCATGAAGTCTGTAAGATCTTACAGAGTTCATGGTTATTTTGTCATAATGATGTTTATCTGTTGTTTGATCTGTAAATTAATTTATTATTTTCTCGTTTCTTTGATGGATTTATGTTTTTTTTTTGTTGCTGTTAATTTTACGATGTGTGTTGTCGTTAAGTAAATTACAAGCAATATAATCCTATGACGTAGTAACATGTACACAGCATTCAATGAAACATATTACTGTAAGTGCTACATCACTTATTTAAAAGTATGTTTGGTGGAATTAAAGTGGATGATTGCTTGAGATTATAATGAGCAACCCGTATGTCATGTAAATGAGAGACTACATGTGTGTCATGACTAGGCCACACGTGTGACATGACCTGAACTTCAGCAATATCATTCTTGTCACGCGAGTGTGTGGCAATGACCTGAACTTCA